GAGGTCAGGTCACGGGGGGTCACAATATGAAAGTGTCGTGTGATACATGTTTTATGGTCCATTTTACATGACAAATGCGATTATGTGGGTCAGGCAGCCTTCGGGGCCAGCTTAGGTCACGTTTTGGTCAAGGTCAGGTCAAGGTCAGGTCAATGTCAGGTCAAATTAGGTCAAATTTCAAAGTTAATATTTTTGCATAAAATAGGTATCGAATCGATGCAGCTCGTCACGGGGAGTTCAATGGTGGTCTTTGTTTTGCCGTACGTGGTCTAGAATCGCTAAACATTTGGTTCAAAAATTTGACGTCATCATTTTTGAACAGTTTTTTCGCTATAACTTGGCCAAAAAACGAGATATCGATCTAAAATTTGGTATGTATATAGAAGAGCCCAGGGACTATCACATATATTCCGGTTTTTTCGAAATTAGGAAAATTTAGATTTTTTTAGTTTTTCTAAAAAAAATCATTTTTTGATTTTTTTGGTGTCAAAAACCCAAAATTTTGAAAATCCGAGATGATAGTTTTGTAGCGCCTTTTTTTGTCTACTAGACCATATAAAGAACTTTGAAATTGCTTGATAACTGTAGATTTGGTGAGCGTTTCCAGATTACATATTTTTTGCTCATTTTTGCTCAAACATGACCTCAGTTTGACCTTAATAACTCCTGACCTAAGGTGACCTAAGACTTGAAATTTGGTGTGAAGGTGTCAAATTGATTGTGCGCCGCCCGTTTTCTTGCTATTCAGGAAAAACCACAGGGGGGGCCAAAATGCCCCCCCCCCCCCAACGGGGCGAGGGTTAACGTAGGTATACCCAACTAAAAGACTACTAAAAAGACTTCTGCCGACATCGCCTCCGGTGGCACTACAGGCCTTCCACCGACGACGAGTGTGTTGTGTGGACATTTGACATATGCATGTATATTGTCTGTGGGTATACACGTATGCGTTGATGCTGGTGTGAGTGGGCGTTGGTGGGTGTGGAATGTGGATGGTACGAAATTTTACTGTCCCTGTCTATTTTCGGCGCCGTTTTCTAATTGGTGTGCCGGCCTATTTCTCGTTTAATCACGCCATTTGGGAGCTGCAGGACGGGCCATTTGATTCGGAGTCGGAGGCTGACTGATGAGCCCGCCGCGATCGAGGATGATTGGAAATCGAGGGGCGAGGAGCAGCAGATCTGTGCGCAGATAAACCCAATCGCTGAGCGGCGGCTTCATAGCGCCACGAGGACACTGCACTATAACTGGCAGCAGGGCGCACACTAGGGCTGCGTTTGGACAGCCCGTTTCGTTTTTTCCTCATCGGGGAGTACCTATTCCTCGGACCGTTCGGCCAGGCTTTCCAGGCATGACTGCTTTCTCCAATGTTGGGTACCTAACCTAAGGGCGGCAGAGCCCCGCGCGGGCCTGCTCGACCACCGGCGACCGGCGACTCCGGTCGGCGAGCGGCGTCGACGTGCATCAATTGCTGAGCACCAGCGGCCGAGCACCAGCCCACTGCAGTCGAGCACCAGCGGCCTATACCCACCGGGGCACCATGACCGCGGGTCGGCGCGGCGGCTGAAACCATGGACTGACGGCTGGGACCAGAGGGTCGGCGGCTGGGACCATAGGGCCGGGAGCTGGAACGATGGGTCGGGAGCTGGGACCAGAGGGAACCAGAGGCTTCTGGAACCAGAGGCTACTGGAACCAGAGGGCCGGGACTGGAACGATGGGTCGTTAACTGGGACCAGAGGGACGGGGCAGGGACCAGAGGGTCGGGAGCTGGAACTGCAGAGGGTCGGCGGCTGGGACCAGAGGGCGGCCGGGAGCTGGAACGATGGGTCGGGAGCTGGGACCAGAGGGAACCAGAGGCTACTGGAACCAGAGGGCCGGGGCTGGAACGATGGGTCGGGGCTGGGACCAGAGAGAGAGCCAGAGACTACTGGAACCAAGGGTCGGCGGCTGGGACCAGAGGGAACCAGAGGCTTCCTGAACCAGAGGCTACTGGAACCAGAGGGCCGGGGCTGGAACCAAAGACCGGTGGGAGTATGGGGACGCTGAGCGTGTCCCGGTGTGTCAGATGTTGTCGGTGCTAGTGTCCCGGTGTGTCAGCTGTTTGTCGGTGCTAGTGTCCCGGTGTGTCAGCTGTTTGTTGGCGGGTGTGTCCTGACATCGTGTGAGCTGTTTGTCGTGGGCCTGTCCTGTGAGCTGTTTGTTGATGGGTCTGTTCTGTGAACTGTTTGTCAGTGGGTGTGTCCCGGTGTGTGAGCTGTTTGTTGGTGAGCTGTTTGTCGGTGGGTATGTCCTATGAACTGTTTATCAGTGGGTGTGTCCCGCCGTGGGTGGGCTGTTTGTCGATTGAGTTGTGTGTGTGCGTCGCTGCATGCGATCTGCAGCTATCCCGCGGCACACTGCACAATGCAATTGCACATGCATGTGTATGTGTAATAACAGTGGATGAAGTGTGCTACTTACCTGCGAGTGCGAAAGCCTTGCGTGATTATCACGCCAGCTATGCGGCGAAAAATTACATCAGCCTTCCACAGAAGACAAGCCGAATAATGATAAACAGAGTCGGGCATCGGTATGCAGTTGAAAACAAATGAATAGGCTGAGATAGCGTTATGTAAACTTTCAATTATAAAAACAATACATCCAATATCCACAGGAACAAGTTTCGTTACGTTCTCAATGGATTTAACATAGCCATGCGTGCAAATCATCAGTTCACTCATACTGCGCGAAATCAAATAAGGGCATGCCAGGGACTAGTCGGCTGTGCCTTTTTCCTCCTTCGGCTCAGTCCTCTTGCTCTTCTCCCGCCATGACTCCAACATGAGACCATCTTCAGAAAGGACGCCCCATCGACGCAGAGACACACGGACCTATAGACACACACACACACACGCCGACAGACAGACAGACAGACAGACAGACAGACAGACAGACAGACAGACAGGCAGGCCACTCCGTGATCCGCCGGCAGGCTCTGATTAGCGCCGGGAAGGCCATCCGCCTCGCCACAGCAACAATCGATAGCCGAGCTGCTCCGACACGAGACGGCCGACCGACCGGCCGACCGCTGCTGCTCCGGCGGCCGACCGACACGGGCCTGCATAGCCGACGGACGCTGCTGCCACGACGGAGACCATCGCTGGTCTATGCTGACATGGTCGATATGGTCTCTGCTGCCATGGTTGAGATGGTCTCTGCTGTCATGGTCGATATGGTCTCTGCTGTCATGGATGAGATGGTCACTCTCTGGTCTCTGCTGTCATGGTTGGAGAATTGGTCTCTGCTGCCATCTGCTAGTTGAGGTAGTCGCTGCTAGTTAGCTTCCCTGTCGTCCATCGCTCCGTTTTCTGGTGGGGCTCACCTTCCGCCCAGTCCTTCCTCCTCTCGGGGTGGTCGCCTCCTGTAGGGGGGGGGGGAGGGGGTGTAGTCCGGATTGGCGGTCCGATTTGGCGCGTCTCCCCACGGCTCGGCCGGGCGGTGAACAGAGAGGCGGCATTAATCGCTCTGATATGCTGAGCTATCAGAGGCACACAGGCGACGTTTTGTCTCCGTGCCAACGATACCATGACATCATGTTCCGAGCTGCCATATCTCCGGTGAAGCTGCCATATCGCAGCCGGCGCCATTGGGCTTGTTCACGGTGCCGTGGGCAAAGGAAATCGGCTGTAATACATAACGTCATGGACGCATTAGGGGACTGCGAGATATTGAGTGTCGTGACCACTTAGGTGATCCCCCCAGTGGGTCGAACAAAGTGCCCATTGTACCCAGGTGCGTGTTCACCGGCTCTTGGAACGTTGATACAACTGGGACGACACTGGTCACGCCGAATATGAAAATGTCGATGATTGTTTCGGGCGCTGACACTTTAGGAGCAGATGGATCCTGCATTTATGCACAGTTGTATGTCCGATTGGCCGCCATGCGCGTATTTCAGAACCAGAGCTGGTAACCGCTAGCTCCAGGCTAGTCAAATGCTGGTTCATTTCCTCAGGAGGAAACCCCTAGTGAAGTGATGCATAGTTAAGATTTGTAGCGATTAGCTTAGCGACTCACTTGCCACTTGTGTACAATGCCTGCTAAGTGACTGGAGGACTAGCATTCCTTCCGAGCAAGGCTAACACTCAACAGCACTGGATTTTATGCTTCTAATGTGGATGTGAACTTATGAATGAATGCTGACGATTTTCCGGTTCCTTGCGGTATCCACCTACTTGATAGTGGATACCGAATGATAAACAGGCTTATAATCTAAAAGAATAGCCCATCATCCCTTAATGTAGTAGTGCGTTCATCGTATTTGTGCTATGGCCATTACACCAGGAAATGATGACTCTCATCAGCCCAGAATCGTTTGAATGTCCGGCCGAACAGACGGCCCACGGACAGACAGACGGCCCACGGACAGACGGCCCACGGACAGACGGTCCACGGTCAGACGGCCCGCGGACAGACAGACGGTCCACGGACAGACGACCCACGGACAGACAGACGGCCCACGGACAGACGGCCCACGGACAGACGGCCCACGGACAGACCACCCACGGACAGACGGCCCACGGACAGACGGCCCACGGACAGACGGCCCACGGACAGACGGCCCACGGACAGACGGCCCACGGACAGACGGACCATGAACAGACGGCCCATGGACACTGGACACTGGACAGACGCCCCACGGACAGACGGACCACGGACGGACAGACGGCACACGGACAGACGGCCCACGGACAGATGGACCATCGACACTGGACACTGGACAGACGGCCCACGGACAGACGTTGTGTCCTGTGTCCTGCACATTTTACCTATGCTTATCAGCGGACAGGTAATTCTGTCCATTCTACCGCTAATCGTCCCTTATCTAAATGTATGCTGTGTAGTTTATACTCTTTGTGGATAGACACACGCTCAGTGTCCTATAGTCGGTGTAACTCAGTGCCTGTTTGGCTAATTTAGTCACGGCTTTCGTGTGACCGTTGTCCCGGTTTTTTTTCAGGAGAGCTGCGTCGCGGCATCTGGAACCAGCCGGGCACTCCAGCAGGTAAAGTAACGAATACACTATGATTGTAAGTACGCGTACAGCCGGGCACTCCAGCAGGTAAAGTAACGAATACACTTGCTATACAGCCGGGCACTCCAGCAGGTAGCGTAAAGAATACAGTATACAGCTGGGCACTCCAGCAGGCAGCGTAACGCATACAGCCGAGCAGTCCAGTAGGTGGCGTGGCGCATACACCGTACACATGCGTTTCTCTCCTCTCCCCTCCTCTCTTCTTCTCTCCGTTCCTCTCTTTTCCTCTCATCCCTCTGGGTCTCTCCATATTTCCTCCTTTCCTATTTCTGTCTCTCTCTCTCTCTCTATCTCTCTCTCTCTCTCTCTCTCTCTCTCTCTCTCTCTCTCTCTCTCTCTCTCTCTCTCTCTCTCTCTCTCTCTCTCTCTCTCTCTCTCTCTCTCTCTCTCTCTCTCTTACTCTCACTTTCTTTCCCACTCGCTCTACGCCTCTCGATTTACCTTTGTTCCTCGCCAAGCACTGAGGCCGCTTTGTTTCGCTCTCATTGTGCGCTGTGAGTAGTCCTTTATGGCGGGCTGCTGTGTGTGACCCGGGGGTGTCGCTGTGCGCCATAAAGGGCACGGAAAACCGCCATCTGAGACGCCCGCCCGACCAAGGTCTCGCAGATCGGCACAAATGCACGGACACTGTACATACGTGGGCACTGCAATGAAATGACCCAAAAAAGGGTCATTGCCGCACAGCGTCCTCAGAATGCAAGGAATAAGATTATGAGCCGATGCCTGTGTTCATGTTTTCAAAAATACGAGTGTCTGTGCCGTTACCAACTAGTAGCTGGTGCCATTTACTAGTCTCAGTTAACCTTCCAGGCGGTGGGGGGGGGGGGGGGCATTTTTGCCTCCCTTATGGTGACCAAATTTTTTTTCCAAAGGCTATGATAGGATGGCCGCTAATGACGTCAGAGTGACGTCATTTTTGCCATTTTCGACCCAAAAAAGGTTTCGCGGGAAGAGCTGTCAGGCCTACAGCTTTAGAAATACAGAAAAATGTTTCAGACATAAAAGGTGTGGAATCAAAAGGGCTACAAAACTGCTTTTTCGGTTTTTCGAATTTTTTGGATTTTGACCCCCAAAAATTAAAAAATAGATTTTTTGAATATAATAGCCAAAAAATCCAAAACGTTTTTTGAATTCCGAAAAACCGGAATATATGTGATAGTCCCTACCGCCTTCTATCTACATACCAAATTTGAGACCAATACCTCTTTTTTGGCCAAGTTATAGCGAAAAACTGTTCCAAATTGATGACGTCAAATATTCAAACTAAATTTTTAGCAATTCTAGACCTCGTAGCGCAAAACAAAGACCATCATTAGACTCCTCGTGACGAGCTGCATCGAATCGATACCCATTTTATGCAAAAATATCAACTTTGAAATTTGACCTTTTTTGACCTGACCTTGACCTGACCTCCACCAGAAAGTGACCTAGACCGTATCTGATGGTCTTATAACCAACACCATTGAGTTGGAAATGAAAAACTGGCCATAAAACATGCATCGCATAACCTTAGTAAAGTTGGGCTCATGTGGTGACCCTTGGTGACCTTTGGTTTACTCGGTGTTATAGCGCTTTCCCTATAAGAGGCCCCGTGAACGGTGAAACATTTTATCTTTGACCTGACCTGTGACGTCATCGGTGAACCCGAGGTCAATTAAATTTGGTTTCCCTCAACAAATTTGACAGGGCTATCTAACGCCGTTTGAATTTTCTGGATCCGTCCAGTAATTTCGGAGATACGGGGGGGGCAAAAAATGCCCCCTCCCCCCACCGCGCGGAAGGTGGCTGGTAGGCCCACCGCCTGCCGGATTAAACCCGCGCCAAGCTGGGGGTCCTGGATTCTGCTGGGGATGGGTGTTTGAACACTCCCTTCTATTCTAACTCGGCACCTTGGCCACGTAGCTATACGGAAAAGGCGGCGTTCGAATGAACGGCAAAAATAAGGAAGAAATTATTTGGTGTTTTTTTTTTTTTTGCTCAGGTCAAAGGTCAGGTCACCAGAGGTCATTAAAGGCATAATTTACCGATTTCTAGGTCAAATGTGGACAACTTTCAACAAATCGACGCACAGCTCGGAAACTAATAAAGCTACAGCGCCGCAGAAAAGTGCATTTGATAGCGCCCTTTTAACATTCTTTCTAAGTAATTCTCTCAGATTTGACCTATCGTCAACGGTTTTGCCTGCAGACAGCAAAAACTGCCGAAATAGACGATTTTTTCGGAAACAGTTTTCCTGCAATATCTTTTGACTCAAACCTTGCACGGTCTTTCTGTTGCCGGCATCGTGTTGCTCTCGTCAAAACGCATCGAATGCATTGTCACTTGACCTTGAACGGTCAATTTGAAAATTTGCTCAGGTCAAGGTCATGACCTGACCGGAAAAGGTCATGTTGCATATCGATCGATCCGCATCGTCGAGCTGAACACACCTAAGACGTTTTCATCGTTCTGTCTCGCCGGAAGACACTGCCAGATGGGTAATAAAGCTTGATTTCGTGTGCATCTAGGCTGAAATCTTTTCTGATGCTAAACAGATGGTTTCCTTATGTCCACTATTGGGATGAAAAATGGTGAGGTAACGTCACTGACCAGACCTCAGGTGACCCTTTAAAAAAATCCGAAGTAAATAATTTGTTGGTGTTTTGGAGTGCTTTGCAACCTGAATGCGTCATCTCTCTGCATTACATTCCATGTCGCTCAGACTTCAGAGCATATGCGAAGTCGTAACATTGTTATAATGTTGTATGATGCAAACTGCATAGGTTCACTTATGACGCCATAGGTCAGTGACCTTATCTTATCCGAAAACACAAATAAGATGAATATGTCCGGTTTGAGTCAGAAGTCGCGGGTATGTTTACATTCAGCTCTTTGCTGCCAACGCGTTCTGAGAAATTGTGATAAAAATGTCAGGGTGTATCTGGTAAATGGCTGGATGTTCTCTGCTCTTTGACCTTTGACCTCTGATGTTCTTTCGAACGTAGCTAATCGTGTACTCCTACGGGACTCAAAGCCTCTTTAGAGGGGTCATAACACGCTTTTCTGATTCGATGGATGTAGATCCAACTGCACTCCTTCAAATCGCCAGCATGGACAATTGTCGCGCTGCTGAGGGGGGGGGAGGGGGGGACACTGGTGAAATACTCGGCCGCCCTGTCCGGGACCCTCCGTATTCGTATACCACTCCGACTATAATGGAGCGTTTCCGAGTCACCGGGTGCATACATGCAGTTAGCACAATTACTGAAATGGATCTGGTTCGGTCGGTGTGGCGCGATTAGCCGGCGGAATCTGTCCGCCGGGGGCCGTGTTGGGCCGGCCGCGGCGGCCCGATCCCGATCCCGCCGTCATTTCGTGGTGCCGATCCGTCCGAGTGGCATTACCCTGGCCGCCAACGGCCGCCACCGCGGTGGCAGCGCTCCGGGATGGACATCTGGGATCATTGCACACGAGGAGCAGCAACACGCAGTGGTCTCCATGGCCGCACGCTTGAGGTTTGGTCTGGCAGCCAACTGATGCCGCGGGGCAGATACGAAGGTGCTCGCTGAACTTCGAACCAACTCGCCTAATCGACTTATACTCTCTCTTATTTGAATAGGCTAGTTGCAATACCATCACGTACCATTTATAAAATTTAACGATGGAATACAGCATTCCCCAATATTTTCATTGTTTTGTTCATATGGTGATTTCAGAACGTTTTGCGGAAGCCTAGGTACTCGATTTCTTAATCATAGATTGATTGATTTTATGAATTAACTTCGTCTTTCAATGGGAATAGCGTCGACGATCTTGGTAAATAAATAAATAAATAAATAGATCGTGCACAAGAGGGATAGTGCTCACTGCTCAGAAACTGTCATGAATAAGATCTCGAACTCAAATCGCTTCATCCCCAATCCAAACATGAGAAACTTCAGTTTTGGTGCAACAACCGTCACATTCATACCATATTTGAGGCTCTGCTGGGTGCTGGTGATAATCGCTCGTTCTGATGAGTCAATGCTTGGCATTTTCACGCAACTGTGTATTTAAAACAGTCCCGGCTCACCCGGCTGTTTGCTATGCCGCCTGACCTGATATGTGTGGTGCCGCCGGCTGGCCTTGTGTTGTGTTTGGTGCAGGTGCACTGACCTGGTGTTGTGTTTGGTGCCTCCGGCTGACCTTGTGTTGTGTTTGGTGCGGGTGCACTGACCTGGTGCTGTGTTTGGTGCCGCCTGCTGGCCTTGTGTTGTGTTTGGTGCGGGTGCAGTGCATTGACCTGCTGCTGTGCTTGGTGCCGCCAGCTGGCCCGGTTCTGTGCTGTGTTTGGTGCCGCTGAGTGACCCGATGTTGTGTTTGGTGCACTGACCCGGTGTTGTGTTTGATGCACTGACCTGGTGTTGTGTTTGGTGTCGCCGGCTGACCTGGTGTTGTGTTTGGTGCCGCCGTCTGACCCGGTGTTGTGTTGTGTTTGGCGCCGCTGAGTGACCTGGTGTTGTGCTGTGTGTGGTTCCACTGAGTGACCTGGTGTTGTGTCGTGTCCAGACGAGGCGAACCGGCTGTTCACCGAGTACAAGGAGAACAGGGACATGGTGCACGGACTGGGCAGCCACTACTTCATCACGTACCCGGTGCAGATCCGAGACTCGCGGCGGCAATCGACCATCATCACACGCGAGAACGGGCCCTCCAAGGTGAGACAGAGAGAGGGAGAGGGACAGGGACAGGGACAGAGGGAGAGGGAGAGGGAGAGGGAGAGGGAGAGGGAAGGGGACAGAGGGAGAGGGAGAGGGAGAGGGAGAGGGAGAGGGATAGGGGAGAGTGAGAGGGAGGGAGAGGGAGAGGGAAAGGGAGAGGGAGAGGGAGAGGGAGAGGGAGAGGGAGAGGGAGAGGGAGAGGGAGAGGGAGAGGGAGAGGGAGGAGAGTGAGAAACGAACCCTTGTGATGAGTGTGAACGGACCCTCCTAAGCGAACAGAACGGTAGCCTTCGGATATAAAATTCTGGCATTTTCACACTTTTATTGATGTCCTACTGATTACCTATTATGCATTTTTTCTGATGTTAGCTTAAAGGGACCCTCCCACCTTCAAAAAAGTTAATGAATTGGCACGAAAGTGATGTCGCTCGGTTCAGAAAGAGCGAAAACGAATATCTACCAAATTTCATCGAAAAATATTCACCGGTTTTCAAGATATTAGACTTTTACTTTTGTTTACTTTTTGGGATCTCCGCTGTTCCTAGCGACTTTATTTGAAAGTGCGGCATTTGTTGCGCGCAAAGCAGCATATACCACCGCGTGCTACCAAACGTTTTAGTAAAAGATTTAAAAATCGTTAGATCTCCGCTGACGTCACAAATTCTAAGGGGCATACCAATGCACTAGCCCCTTAGAATCCGAAAACTGGAAGTTTGAAATTCCATATCTCCGAATTAAAGCATTTTTCGATGTTGTGAGTGCCCAAACCGGTATTTGCAGGCCATGGCCACCAATTTGGCTATCTCAACTCAAAACTAATGTTAAGGTGGGAGTGTCCCTTTAATGCTGTAGCAAAAATGATGGATGCCCAATTTATTCTGCTGCACATACATGCGTTGGTAGAGCGATATTATACGCACGAGTACATGCTGTTGGAGATGTTCGTCTGTGGCGGCGCTGTGTTTCACTGATGCCACCCTTTTTTCAGCTTGAGAGGGACAACACGTCATCTAGGAACGGATTTTATCAAAAGGTTAGTAAGCGCCACACCCTAAACACCAATACTTTGGTACAAAAAAAAAGATTGACCGCTGCTCTATTTGATAAAGATTTAACCCGCACATGACTGGGGGGGGGGGGGGGCTCTACAGAACTCCCTCCCGTTTTTCGGCAATATCTTCTAAACCGTTTGACGGATCATCACGAAACTTGCGGCACCTTCAGCGGCATCAATTTGACACCTTTTGTTAAAATTTAATTTTGCTAGCTACCACAGTTTAGTCGGAAATGACGTCAGAGTGACGTCATGTCGGCGGATTTTGATGCAAAGTATTGAATTGCGGAAACGCTCTCAAGAGCTCAGTTTTAAAGCTAGATCCAATTTATTTGTATGCATGGACTAAAAATACACTTAGCTATCAAACTGCTATCTCGAATTTTCGAAATTTTAAAATTTTCGAAAAATGTGTATTTACAATTACAAAAAAAAAATATTTTTGATTTTTTAAGAAAGTTTCTGATTTTTCGCAAAAATCGGAATACATGTGATAGAACACACACTGTTAACCCGGCAGTTGCTGGGGTAGGGTAGTGTGGGGTAATTTGAACATATTTTTACGTCTTCTCCGTTGTACTATTGGTCTCAAGATAAGGGTCCAGGCGACCTGTAGGTTTGATGCGGTGAATACCCCCACCTTCGCCACACACGCTCGGTGCTACGGAGCTCCGATCTCGCGACCGGTCACCTGTACTTGTAGACTGTGCCGCATGACATAGCAGTTGAGCGGGCCAGCGGAGCTTAGGCGGAAACTAGCGCCGCGTTTGACAGAGAAGGACGCTCACCATTGCGGCGGGAGGGCCGCTCGCCATTTTAACTCCATGTAGCGTCTCGCTGACAATGAAAGACACTACAGGACGACACTACAGGGTTCGGCAAAAGTTATGTCCACTAACTATGACAGCACTTTCCGGTTCCTAATCGTGTCTATACCTGTAGGATGACGATTCAGGTTGCACTCCTGCATTGCACGGTCTTTGGCCGCAGAACATGAAGTGACGAACGGACCTCGGGTCACGGAGCACCGAACTACGGCCAGTTTCACAGAGATTGTTCACCTGAACGGCTGCGCCGTTACATGCAGGTCTGAAATTTCTATCGAGGGAGCTGGACTGGACCAGACAGTCGGCATGCTACAGGCCGAAATGACACAGCGTGTCATTGCTGATTGGTTGGGACATCTGCCTGTTGGTTTTGTTTGCAAGTCTTAACCTTCGCCCCAGTGGGGGGGGGGGGCATATGTTACCACCCTGTCGCGTTTTTTGCGTGTGAATAAAAAACCGCGGCGCGTAGCGCCGCGCCGCTTGGGGTAGCTTTTGGTACATCAATTTTGGACAATGTGTGAAATTTTTGACCCCAGGTCATGTCAGGTCAGGTCACCAGGTCAAGTTAACTGACCAAGCCTAAAAAAAGTTTGCAATCGTGTCCAGCCTGCAGTGTTTGTCAGAAAGTTTTTAAACTTGATGGATTGCATGCTGTTATGGGCGCCTACAATTTGTATATCTCGGATTTTTTATATCCGTGACCTGAGGTCAGGTCAGTGGCGTGGCCTTTCCATTACAAGTCAATGGAGAAAAATGAAAATGCCTCTAGATCCGTGTGTACGCATAGGAACAGTCCAAATATTTCAGAATCACAGTGATTTGGACCACCCGTGATGACCTAGGTGTCATTTTTGCTCATAGCCTCTAGAAAGGTCATCCGAGGTCATTTGAGGCTACAAACAGATTTTTGCCAATAACTCGCGATTGGAAAGAGATAGAACGCTGGGGATGGTCTCATTATGTTTGTCTTGTTGAGACGCATCGACTGATATGCAACATGACCTTTTCCGGTCAGGTCATGACCTTGACCTGAGGTCAAATTTTCAAGTTGACCTTTCAAGGTCAAATTATAGTTCATTCGACGCGTCTCGGCAAGCGGAACACGATTCTGGCAATAGAAATGTCGTGGCTTTTCGTAGTCGAAAGTTATTGTCGAAAAACACTTTTCGTAAAAACAGCTATTTTTGGAGTTTTTGCTCTCTGGAGGCTAAACCGTTGACCTGAGGTCAACTTTGATGATGACCTTATCAAAAGAAGAGTTCAAGAGCTATCGATTGCTGTTCCATGCGTTTTTTTAGCTACCATAGTTCCTGAGATAACGCCATGTTTTCTGAAAAATATAATGACAATTGGCAATTTTTGACCTTTGATGACCTCTGGTGACCCAAATATTGCTCTGAGATGAAAAATGACTGAAATACTTTCAAACGTACGCATTAAGAGCTATCGACTGCTTTTTACCGCGTCTTTCTAGCCCTCTTAGTTTTTGAGTTAGAGGTGGGTGGTAACATATGCCCCCCCTCACTAGGGCGAAGTTGGCTGAGACCGCCACTGGGGCGCGGGTTAATTATAGACGAACTGTCTGCACAGTCCGGTGTTGGTGGGATAAGCATACGGCTGCTGGCAGTGTTGCTGGTCGTTCCAGTTTGCCGGCGTGCGCCTACCATTTCAAACGTTACAGAAATCGCATTGAAAAAGGTGGCCGGGAAGAGGGGCCAGTAGTTGGCGACAAAATTGGCCAAGCGGCTCGCGCTGAAGCGCTATCACATCTCCAAACAGGACCGTGAGACGCTATTGGAAGAGCTCTCCGAAGCTCATTAGACCTATCTTCGACCCAATACTAAGCTGCAGCGCATGGTCAAGGACATGTTGACATGCATTTTGAATCAGGACGGCGCGCCAGCTCATCGCTCTGCCAAGGCCCAGCGGTGGTGGGAATTGAACGTGCTAGACTTCTGAAGGAAAGAGATGTTAGCCGGCTGCCATCCGGACCTCATCCTGATCGACGAACTTCGGGCTATCATCCAGCAGGACCTGGACAAACAGAAGCCGGCGGCCAGCCTCGGCGCCTTGTCGTTACAGCTAAAACGGGCATGATAAAAAAAAATCCAGCCGTATTTACTGCACAACCTAGTTACCAGCATGCAAATTTGCGTTCGTATGTAAATCCCTGTTCGTGGGGAATAAACTGAACGCGTAAGAGGATCGCTGTCCCCTATGTAGCAACTTAGAGAGAACATTTTTTAGAGGATAAAACTTATGCCGGACCATGTAGCTCACCCATCATCAATTGCAGTTTCGCCTTAGACTGCAAGACGTGGCAATTTCTTTAGGACGTAGCAATTAATGCTGTCATGATCGGCATACCTACCGCCGACAGGCGACAACTCCAACCATATTCCAACCTTCATAACTTTTAATTTCCTACTGTTTCATATAATTTCAATTATTGCGCTGAACAACTGTTCTGACTGTTAAATAGTTCATTTCAATAACTGCATTGTTAAACACTCGGTAGGGTTAACCATTAAACAATATGTTAAGTGTTACTCTCGCCCCGTTCGCTATGTGTTTGTTTTATACTTCTATCGAACGTGATATCATTCCGAGAAAGCACTAATAGTGTAGAGTGTAGAAGCCATTCCCACTGATAAGACTCTAAGCGATGCAGCTAGGTAATGCATAAGGCTGATTGGCGAATTTCAGCTTATAGACAAGACAAGGAAAAGTTCTCGAAAATTAAATCCACACAGAACAAACATATTTAAAGAGTGCACGTGTCTCGTTGTCGTTGTATCCGTTATTCCTCGTAGGACCTATCGGCTTTCTGAATACAGAGAGGGGACTAGAGTGTGTGTGTGTGGGGGGGGGGCTGGACCCCCGCCGCCGTTTCGTCCAAAATCAAGCTACAAGCCTTGCAAACAAAAACAATCACAATCAAATTATAAGTGTCAGATCAACATGTGACCTCTAAGGTCAGGTCACGTGCACAAGGGGTGTTCATTAGCGAATGACATTAAGTAAGCCCCCGCTGGAGCCCCAAATGATCGCCGGCCATCGTGCAGACGAAGCCTTCGACGACTCACAGCAGCGTTCAATTCATCAAGGGTCTTGGACTCTTGAGTTCGCTCCGCAATTTGAGTTGCTTGAGGTTAAACGGTGAAGTCCAAGCAGGAAAAATCCAGACTGCAGAGTGACCAGGGGTGCTGGGATATTGTTCAGTTGCTCGAAGGTGAAGAAAGTCTAGCAATCATTCAGTAATCTGTCCAGTATTCACGTTCGCAATGGATATGCGAACGGAATGGATATGCGAACGAAAATGCCTTCCCAGAAACCTGGGAAGGCATTTTAAAATATATGGACTAGTGATGTCAATTACGGAAAGTCGTGATACCGATACCAAACCAAATACCAACAGGAACCGTGGGAACATACCGAAACCGAATCCGACTTGGGAATATCGGGAAATGCCAACTTTTTACCCAAGTCACAGTCTCTTTTGCATTAGCGAGGATTCACAATACCTACCAACAAAATACCAAATGTGTTAGCCTCGAAACGTCAAATACCAAGTTGGTATCGGTTTGGTATCGGTATGCCAAAAAGTTGATATTCGATTGACATCTCTAAGATTGACAATCCTCCACGAGAAGAAACTGAGCTGGAAACATTATCGTCCGATCCTAATGACCGTCATCTCCCCTGGCAGCATGGTGTTGAGGCTGGAAGCGTGCAACTTTTGGCTCACGGCTCAGTGAAGCGGAAGAATGGTTCGAAAGGGTGATATTGAGTGACGAAAAGTGGCTCGCGCTACAGCAAGCACCCGCAAAAAGAGTACAGGCTCCTTCGCCAAAGAATGCACAGTGTTTACAATTGCTTCACGTGCAAAGAGAGAAAATTATCAGATGTCGTGTAACTGATTTGTTAAACGTCTAGACGATTAACAAACTATTAAACGTCTAGTAGACAGTTCGTCTAGTCTGAAGTATGTCGTATTTTTATATAAAATGTATTCTTTAGTCTTTATTATCCTAAGCGCCCGAAAGATATCGGCGGTACGGGATAAAGTTATTAAACCGGTCGTAGGTAGAAAAATATTTTAAACGTCGAGCCGATAGTCGAGACAACTTTCGGCCGCTTAAAGGTAAAAAA